AGATTTTGGCCGATTTCAAGATTTTAGCTTTCCAAAATCCTGAATTCAAGATTTTGGATGATTTCAAGATTTTAGCTTTCCAAAATTCTGAATTCAAGATTATGGCCGATTTCAAGATTTTACCTATCAAAAATGCTAAATTCGAGATTTTGGCCGATTTCAAGATTTTAGTTTTCCAAAATCCTAAATTCAAGATTTTGGCGGATTTCAACATTTTACCTTTTCAAAATCCTGAATTCAAGATTTTGGCCTATCTCAAGATTTTAGCTTTTCAAAATCCTGAATTGAAGATTTTAGCCGATTTTAAGATTTTAGCTTTCCAAAATCCTAAATTCCATATTTTGGCCGATTTCAAGATTTTAGCTTTCGAAAATCCTGAATTCAAGATTTTAGCTTTCCAAAATCCTGATTTTAATATTATGGCCGATTTCAAGATTTTAGCTTTCCAAAATCCTGAATTAAAGATTTTGCCGATTTTAAGATTTTAGCTTTCCAAAATCCTGAATTCAAGATTTTCTGCGTTTTCCAAATCTTAGCTTTGCAAAATCCTGAATTCAAGATTTTTGCCGATTTCAAGATTTTACGAACAAGAAGTGATTTTGAAAAGCATTCCACTATAAAAAGTTGGGATATAACATTTCTTAAAATCATTTTAAGATTAAAAAAATTGCTAAAAAGCGACGACGTTTCGACGTTAGCTGAACGTAATTATCAAGTCAAATAAGTTAGTGATTTTTGGTCTATAAATACTAAAACTCAATGCAGATTATGTCGGGTACACAGCCCGACACCTTCATCAACGCATTGCTGAGCACAAAAATTCGGCAATCGGTAGACATTTCTTAGAAGCTCACGGTAACAACAACCTTTTGAGGGAAAGCCAATTCACGGTTTTAAGAAAATGCCAGAGCAAATTTGATTGTTTAGTATTTGAAATGCTCTTCATCAAGAAACTTAAGCCCAATTTAAATATTCAGACGGACTCCATACGTGCGAAACAATTTGTTTAATATTTTCTCACGTTACAATTTTTAATCAGCTATTGTTGTTTTTTTAGTATTTATAGACCAAAAATCACTAACTTATTTTGACTTGATAATGACGTTCAGCTAACGTCGAAACGTCGTCGCTTTTTAGCAATTTTTTTCATCTTAAAATGATTTTAAGAAATGTTTTTTCGCAATCTTTTATAGTGAAATGCTTTTCAAGATTTTAGCTTTCCAAAATCCTGAATTCAAGACTATGGCCCATTTCAAGATTTTACCTTTCCAAAATGCTGAATTCCAGATTTAGGCCGATTTCAAGATTTTCGCTTTCCAAAATCCTGCATTCCAGATTTTGGCCGATTTCAAGATTTTAGCTTTCCAAATTCCTGAATTCAAGATTTTGTCTCGATTTCAAGATTTTAGCTTTCCAAAGTCCTGAATTTAAGATTTTTGCCGATTTCAAGATTTTAGTATTAAAAAATCCTGAATTCCAGATTTTGCTCGATTTTAAGATTTTAGCTTTCCAAAATCCCGAATTAAGATTTTGACCCCGTTCAAGAGTTTAGCTTTCCAAAATCCTCAATTCAAGATTTCTGCCGATTTCAAGATTTTAGCTTTTAAAAATCCTGAATTCAAGATTTTGGCCGATTTCAAGATTTTAGCTTTTCAAAATCCTGAATTGAAGATTTTGGCCAATTTCAAGATTTTAGCTTTCCAAAATCCTGAATTCAAGATTTTAGTTTTCCAAAATCCTGATTTTAATATTATGGCCGATTTCAAGATTTTAGCTTTCCAAAATCCTGAATTAAAGATTTTGCCGATTTTAAGATTTTAGCTTTCGAAAATCGTGAATTCAAGATTTTCTGCGTTTTCCAAATCTTAGCTTTGGAAAATCCTGAATTCAAGATTTTTGCCCAATTCAAGATTTTAGCTTTCCAAAGTCCTGAATTCAAGATTTTGGCCAATTTCAAGATTTTAGCTTTAAAAAATCCTGAATTCAAGATTATGGCCGATTTCAAGATTTTAGCTTTCCAAAATCCTGAATTCAAGATTTTGGCCAATTTCAAGATTTTAGCTTTCCAAAATCCTGTATTCAAGATTTTGGGCGATTTCAGGATTTTAGCCTCGCAAAATCCAGAATTCAAGATTTTGCCCATTTCAAGATCCTAGCTTTCCAAAATCCTGAATTCAAGAGTTTGTGCCATTTCAAAATCGCAGTTTTCCAAAATCCTGAATTCAAGATTTTGGCCGATTTCAAGATTTTAGCATTCCAAAATCCTCAAGTCAAAATTTTGGCCGATTTCAAAATTTTAGCTTTCCAAAATCCTAAATTCAAGGTTTTGGCCGTTTTCAAGACTTTAGCTTTCCAAAATCCTGAATTTAAGATTTTGGCCGATTTGAAGGTTTTAGCTTTCAAAAATCCTGAATTCAAGAATATGGCCGATTTCAAGATTTTAGCTTTCGAAAATCCTGAATTCAATATTTTGGCCGATTTCAAGTCTTTAGCTTTCCAAAATACTCAATTCAAAATTTTGGCCGAATTCAAGATTTTAGCTTTCCAAAATCCTGAATTCAAGATTTTGGCCGATTTCAAGATTTTAGCTTTGGAAAATAAAGAATTCAAGATTTTGCCCATTTCAAGATCCTAGCTTTCCAAAATCCAGAATTCAAGATTTTGCCCATTATAAGATTTTAGCTTTTCAAAATACTGAATTTAAGATTTTGGCCGATTTCAAGATTTTAGCTTTCCAAAATCCTGAGTTTAAGATTTTGGCGGATTTCAAGATTTTAGCTTTAAAAAATCCTGAATTCAAGATTATGGCCGATTTCAAGATCTTAGCTTTCCAAAATCCTGAATTCAAGATTCTGGCGGATTTGAAGGTTTTAGCTTTCCAAAATCCTGAATTCGAGATTTTGGATGATGTCAAGATTTTAGCTTTCCAAAATTCTGAATTCAAGATTATGGCCGATTTTAAGATTTTACCTATCAAAAATGCTAAATTCCAGATTTTGGCCGATTTGAAGATTTTAGCTTTTCAAAATCGTGAATTGAAGATTTTCTGCCATTTCTAAGTCTTAGCTTTTCAAATTCTTGAATTCAAGATTTTGGCCGATTTCAAGATTTTAGTTTTCCAAAATCCTAAATTCAAGATTTTGGCCGATTTCAAGATTTTACCTTTCCAAATTCCTGAATTCAAGATTTTGGCGGATTTCAAGATTTTACCTTTTCAAAATCCTGAATTCAAGATTTTGGCCGATCTCAAGATTTTAGCTTTTCAAAATCCTGAATTGAATATTTTAGCCGATTTTAAGATTTTAGCTTTCCAAAATCCTAAATTAAAAATTTTGGCCGATTTCAAGATTTTAGTTTTCCAAAATCCTGAATTCAAGATTTTAGCTTTCCAAAATCCTGATTTTAATATTATGGCCGATTTCAAGACTTTAGCTTTCCAAAATCCTGAATTAAAGATTTTGCCGATTTTAAGATTTTAGCTTTTCAAAATTGTGAATTCAAGTTTTTCTGCGTTTTTCAAATCTTAGCTTTGCAAAATCCTGAATTCAAGAGTTTTGCCGATTTCAGGATTTTTGGTTTCCAAAATCCTGTATTCAAGATTTTTGGCGATTTCAAGATTTTGGCTTTGCAAAATCCAGAATTCAAGATTTTGCCCATTTCAAGATCCTAACTTTCCAAAATCGTGAATTCAAGATTTTGGCCGATTTCAAGATTTTAGCATTCCAAAATCCTCAATTCAAAATTTTTCCCGATTTCAAGATTTTAGCTTTCCAAAATCCTGAATTCAAGATTTTGGCCGTTTTCAAGACTTTAGCTTTCCAAAATCCTGAATTCAAGATTTTGGCCGATTTGAAGGTTTTAGCTTTCCAAAATCCCGAATTCAAGAATATGGCCGAATCCAAGATTTTAGCTTTCCAAAATCCTGAATTCAAGATTTTGGCCGATTTCAAGTCTTTAGCTTTCCAAAATCCTCAATTCAAAATTTGGGCCGATTTCAAGATTTTAGCTTTCCAAAATCCTGAATTCAAGATTTTGCCCATTTCAAGATCCTAGCTTTCCAAAATCCAGAATTCAAGATTTTGCCCATTTCAAGATTTTAGCTTTCCAAAATACTGAATTTAAGATTTTGGCCGATTTCAAGATTTTAGCTTTCCAAAATCCTGAATTCAAGATTTTGGATGATTTCAAGATTTTAGCTTTCAAAAATTCTTAATTTCTTGATTATGGCCGATTTCAAGATTTTACCTATCAAAAATGCTAAATTCTAGCTTTTGGCCGATTTCAAGATTTTAGCTTTTCAAAATTGTGGATTGAAGATTTTCTGCCATTTCAAAGTCTTAGCTTTTTGAATTCTTGAACTCAAGATTTTGGCCGATTTCAAGATTTTAGTTTTCCAAAATCCTAAATTCAAGATTTTGGCCGATTTCAAGATTTTACCTTTCCAAATTCCTGAATTCAAGATTTTTGCGGATTTCAAGATTTTACCTTTTCAAAATCCTGAATTCAAGATTTTGGCCGATCTCAAGATTTTAGCTTTTCAAAATCCGGAATTAAAGATTTCAGCCGATTTTAAGATTTTAGCTTTCCAAAATCCTAAGTTCAAAATTTTGGGCGATTTCAAGATTTTAGCTTTCCAAAATAGAGAATTCAAGATTTTGGTTGATTCCAAGGTTTTTGGCTTTCCAAAATCCTGAATTCAAGATGTTGGCCGATTTCAAGATTTTAGCTTTCCAAAATAGAGAATTCAAGATTTTGGTTGATTCCAAGGTTTTTGGCTTTCCAAAATCCTGAATTCAAGATGTTGGCCGATTTCAAGATTTTAGCTTTCCAAAATCCTCAATTTAAGATTTTGCCCATTTTAAGATTTTAGCTTTCCAAAATCCTGAATTGAAGATTTTGGGCGATTTCAAGATTTTAGCTTTCCTAAATCCTGAATTCAAGATTTTGTCCGATTTCAAAATTTAAGCTTTCCAAAATCCTGAATTAAAGATAATGGCCAAGATTGAGATTTTACCTATCAAAAATGCTGAATTCCAAATTTTGGCCGATTTCAAGATTTTAGTGTTCCAAAATCCTCAATTCAAAATTTTAACCGATTTCAAGATTTTAGCTTTCCAAAATCCTGTATTGATGATTTTTGCCGATTTCAAGATTTTAGCTTTCCAAATTGCTGAATTCAAGATTTTTGCCGTTTTCAAGACTTTAGCTTTCCAAAATCCTGAATTCAAGATTTTGGCCGATTTCAGGATTTTAGCTTTCCAAAATCCTGAATTAAAGATTTTAGCTTTCCAAAATCCTGATTTTAAGATTTTGACCGAGTTCAAGATTTTAGCTTTCCAAAATCCAGAATTCAAACCTTAGGCTGATTTCAAGACTTTAGCCTTCCAAAATCCTGAATTCAAGATGGTGGCCGATTTCAATATTTTAGCTTTCCTAAATTCTGAATTCAAAATTTTGGCCGATTTCAAGATTTTACCTATCAAAAATGCTGAATACCAGATTTTGGCCGATTTCAAGATTTTAGCTTTTCAAAATCGTGAATTCAAGATTTTGTGCCATTTAAAAATCTTAAGTTTTCAAATTCTAGAATTCAAGATTTTGGAAAGCTAATATTTTGAAATCGCAGAAAATTTTGAATTCAGGATTTTGGAAAGCTAGGATCTTGAAATAGGCAAAATCTGGAATTCTGGATTTTGCAAATCTAAAATCTTGAAATTGGCCAAAATCTTGAATTTAGGATTTTGGAAAGCTAAATTCTTGAAATCGGCCAAAATCTTGAATTCAGGATTTTGGAAAGCTAAAATCTTGAAATCGGCCAAAATGTTGAATTCACGATTTTGGAAAGCTAAAATCTTGAAATCGGTCAAAATCTGGAATTCAGGATTTTGGAAAGCTAAGATTTTGAAATTGCAGAAAATCTTGAATTCAGGATTTTGGAAAGCTATTGTCTTGAAATGAGCAAAATCTTGAATTCTGGATTTTGGAAAGCTAAAATCTTGAAATCGGCCAAAATCTTGAATTCAGGATTTTGGAAAGCAAAACACTTGAAATCGGCCAAAATCTTGAATTCAGGATTTTGGAAAGCTAAAATCTCGAAGTCGGCCAAAAAGTTGAATTCAGAATTTTGGAAAGTTAAAATCTTGTAATCGGCCAAAATCTTGAATTCAGGATTTTGGAAAGCTAAGATTTTGAAATTGCAGAAAATCTTGAATTCAGGATTTTGGAAAGCTAAAATCTCGAAATCGGCCAAAAAGTTGAATTCACGATTTTGGAAAGTTAAAATCTTGAAATCGGCCAAAATCTTAAATTCAGGATTTTGGAAAGCTAAGATTTTGAAATTGCAGAAAATCTTGAATTCAGGATTTTGGTAAGCTAGGATCTTGAAATGGGTAAAATCTTGAATTTTGGATTTTGCAAAGCTAACATCTTGAAATTGGCCAAAATCTTGATTTGTGGATTTTGGAAAGCTAAAATCTTGAAATCGGCCAAAATCTGGAATTCAGGAGTTTAGAAAGCTAAAATCTTAAATTGGCCAAAATGTTGAATTTAGGATTTTGGAGAGCTTAATTCTTGAAATGTGCCAAAATCTTGAATTCAGGATTTTGGAAACCTAAAATCTTGAAATCGGGCAAAATCTTGAATTCAGGATTTTGGAAAGGTAAGAATTTGAAATCGCACAAAATCATGAATTCAGTATTTTGGAAAGCTAGGATCTTGAAATGGGAAAATCTTGAATTCTTGATATTGCAAAGCTAAAATCTTGAAATCGTCCAAAATCTGGAATTCAGTATTTTGGAGAACTAAAATATTGAAATCGGCAAAAATCTTGAATTCAGGATTTTGGAAAGCTAAAATTTTGAAATTGGCCAAAATTAAGAATTCAGGATTGTGGAAAGGTAAATATTTGGAAACCCCAAAAAAATCTTGAATTCAGGATTTTCCATATCTAGGATCTTGAAATGGGCAAAATCTTGAATTCAGGATTTTGCAAAACTAAAATCTTGAAATTGGCCAATATCTTGAATTCAGGAGTTTGAAAAGCTAAAATCTTGAAATCGGACAAAATCTTCAATTGAGGATTTTGGAAAGCTTAAGTCTTGAACTCGGCCAAAATCTTCAATTCAGGATTTTTGAAAACTAAAATCTTGAAATGGGCTAAAATCTGAAATTCAGGATTTTAAAAAGCTAAGATCTTGAAATCGGCCAAAATGTTGAATTCAGGGTTATGGCAAGCTAAAATCTTGAAATCGGCCAAAATCTTGAATCCGAGATTTTCGTTAGCTAAAATCTTGAAATCGGCCATAATCTTGAATTCAGGATTTCGGAAAGCTAAAATCTTCAAATCGGCAAAAATCTGGAATTCAGTATTTTAGGTAGCTAAAATCTTGAAATCGGGCAAAATCTTAAATTCGGGATTTTATAAAGCTAAAATCTTGAAATGGGCCAAAATCTCGAATTCAAGATTATTGAAAGCTAAAAACTTGAAATCGGCCAAAATCATGAATTCAGGATTTTGGAAAGATCAGATTTTGAAATCGCACAAAATCTTGAAATTAGGAATTGGAAAGCTAGGATATTGAAATGGGTAAAGTCTTGAATTCAGGAGTTTGGAAAGCTAAAATCTTGAAATCGGCCAAAATCTTGAATTCAGGAATTGGAAAGCTAAAATTCTTAATTCGGCCAAAATCTTGAATTCACGATTTTGGAAGGCTAGAATCTTGAATTCGGCCAAAATCTGGAATTCAGGTTTTTATAAAGCTTAAATCTTCAACTCGGCCAAAATCTTCAATTCAAGGCTTTGAAAAGCTAAAATCTAGAAATCGGCCAAAATCTTGAATTCAGGATTTTGGGAAGCTAAAATCTTGAACGCAGCGAAAATCTTGAATTCAGGATTTTGGAAAGCTTAAATCTAGAAATTTGCCGAAATATTAAATTCGGGATTTTGGAAAGCTAAGATGTTAAAATGGGTCAAAATCTTAAATTCTGGATTTTGGAAAGCTAAAATCTTGAAATCGGCCAAAATCTTGAATTCACGATTTTGAAAAGCTAAAATCCTTAATTCGGCCAAAATCTGGAATTCAGGATTTTGAAAAGCTCAAATATTGAAATCGGCCAAAATCTTGAATTCAGGATTTTGGAAAGCTAAAAAATGAAAATCGGCCACAATCGTGAATTCAGGATTTTGGAAACCTAAAATCTCGAAATCGGCCAAAATCTTGAATTGACGATTTTGGTAAGAAAAAATCTTGAAATCAGCCAAAATCTAGAATTCAAGATTTTACAAAGCTGCAATCTTGAAACGGGCCAAAATCTTGAATTCATGAATTTTTAAACCTAAAATCTTGAAATCGGCCAAAATCTTGAATTCAGGATTTTGAAAAGCTAAACTATGAAAATCCGCGGAAATCTTGAATTCAGGATTTAAGAAATCAAAAATCTTGAATTCAGCATTTTGGAAAGCTAAAATCTTGAAATCGGTAAAAATCTTGAACTTAGGATTCTCGAGTTTACAAAGCTAAAATCTTGAAATCGGCCAAAACTTTAAATTTAGGATTTTGGAATGCTGAAATCTTGACATCGGCCAAAATCTTGAATTCACGATTTTGGAAAGCTAAAATCTAGAAATCGGCCAAAATCTTGAATTCAGTATTTTTTAAAGCTAAAATCTTGAAATTGGCCAAAATCTTGAATCCAGGATTTTGGAAAGCTAAAATCTTGAAATCGGCCATAATATTGAATTCAGGATTTTGTAAAGCTAAAATTTTGAACTCGGCCAAAATCTTGAATGAAGGATTTTGGAAAACTAAAATCTTGAAATCGGGAAATTCTTGAATTCAGGATTTTGGAAAACTAAAATCTTAAAATCGGCGAAAATAATGAATTCAGGATTCTGGAAATCTAAAATCATGAACTCGGCCAAAATTATGAATTCAGGAATTTGCAGAGCTGAAATCTTGAAAAGAGCCAAAATGTTGAATTCAGGATTTTGGAAAGCTAAAATCTAGAAATCGGCCAACATCTTGAATTCAGGATTTTTTAAAGCTAAAATCTTGAAATTGGCCAAAATCTTAAATCCAGGATTTTGGAAAGCTAAAATCTTGAAATCGGGAAATTCTTGAATTCAGGATTTTGGAAATCTGAAATCTTAAAATCGCCCAAAATAATGAATTCAGGATTCTTGAAATCTAAAATCATGAACTCGGCGAAAATCATGAATTCAGGATTTTGGAAAGCTAAAACCTTGAAATCGGCAAAAATCTTGAATTCAGGATTTTGAAAAGCTAAAAACTTGAAATGGGCCAAAATCTAGAATTCAGGATTCTGGAAAGATAAAATCATGAACTCGGCCAAAATCTTGAATTCAGGATTTTGGAAAGCTAAAATCTTGAAATCGGCCAAAATCTTGAACTCAGGTTTTTTTAAAAACTAAAATCTCAAAATCTGCCAAAATATTGAATTCACTTTTTTTGAGGCCTAAAATCTTGAAATCGGCCAAAATCTTGAATTCCGAATTTTCGAAAGCTAAAATCTTGAAGTCGGCCAAATATTTGTATTAACGATTCAAAAAAGATAAAATCATGAACTCGGCCAAAATCTTGAATTCAGAATTTTGGAAAGCTAAAATATTAAAATCGGTCAAAATCTTAAATTGAGGATTTTGCACAGCTAAAATCTTGAAATCGGCCAAAATCTTGAATTCAGAATTTTGGAAAGCTAAAATCTTGAACTTGGCCAAAACCTTTAATTCAGGCCATTGGAAAGCTAAATTCTTGATATCGGCCAAAATCTTGAATTCACGATTTTGGGAAGCTAAAATTAAGAACTCGGCCAAAATCTTGAATTCAGGATTTTGGACAGCTAAAATCTTGAAATTGGCCAAAATCTTGAATCCAGGATTTTGGAAAGCTAAAATCTTGAAATCGGCCATAATATTGAATTCAGGATTTTGTAAAGCTAAAATTTTGAACTCGGCCAAAATCTTGAATGAAGGATTTTGGAAAACTAAAATCTTGAAATCGGGAAATTCTTGAATTCAGGATTTTGGAAAACTAAAATCTTAAAATCGGCGAAAATAATGAATTCAGGATTCTGGAAATCTAAAATCATGAACTCGGCCAAAATTATGAATTCAGGAATTTGCAGAGCTGAAATCTTGAAAAGAGCCAAAATGTTGAATTCAGGATTTTGGAAAGCTAAAATCTAGAAATCGGCCAACATCTTGAATTCAGGATTTTTTAAAGCTAAAATCTAGAAATTGGCCAAAATCTTAAATCCAGGATTTTTGAAAGCTAAAATCTTGAAATCGGGAAATTCTTGAATTCAGGATTTTGGAAATCTGAAATCTTAAAATCGCCCAAAATAATGAATTCAGGATTCTTGAAATCTAAAATCATGAACTCGGCGAAAATCATGAATTCAGGATTTTGGAGAGCTAAAATCTTGAAAACGGCACAAATGTTGAATTCAGGATCTTTGGAGAGTTAAAATCTTGAAATCGTCCAAAATCTTGATTTTAGGATTCTGGAAAGCTAAAATCTAGAAATGGGCCAAGAAATTAAGTTTAGGATTTTGGAAAGCTAAAATCTTAAAATCGGCCAAAATCTTGATTTCAGGATTTTGAAAAGGTAAAATCTCGAAATCGGCCAAAATTGTGAATTAAGGATTTTGAAAAGCTAAAAACTTGAAATGGGCCAAAATCTAGAATTCAGGATTCTGGAAAGATAAAATCATGAACTCGGCCAAAATCTTGAATTCAGGATTTTGGAAAGCTAAAACCTTGAAATCGGCAAAAATCTTGAATTCAGGATTTTGAAAAGCTAAAAACTCGAAATATGCCAAAATCTTGAATTCAGAATTTTGAAAAGCTAAAATCCTGAAATCGGCCAAAATATTGAATTCAGGATTCTTGAAAGCTAAACTCATGAACTCGGCCAAAATCTTGAATTCAGGATTTTGGAAAGCTAAAATCTTGAATTTAGGATTCTGGAAAGCTCAAATCTAAAAATCGGCCAAAATCTTGAATTCAGGATTTTGGAAAGCTAATATCTCGAATTCGGCCAAAACCTTGAATTCACTATTTTGGAAAGATAAAATCTTGAAATCAGCCAAAATCTTAAATTCAGAATTTTGGAAAGCTATTATCTCGAATTAAGCCAAAATCTTGAATTCACGATTCTGGAAAGCTAAAATCTGGAATTCGGCCAAAATATTGCATTTATGATTTTCGAAAGCTAATATCTCGAAATTAGCTAAAATGTTGAATTCACGATTTTGGAAAGCTAAAATCTTGAATTCGGCCAAAATCTTGAATTCAGGATTTTGGAAAGCTAAAATCTCGAAATCGGCCAAAATCTTGAATTCACGATTCTGGAAAGCTAAAATCTTGATATTGGCCAAAATCTTGAATTGAGGATTTTGGAAAGCTAAAATCTTGAACTTGGCCAAAATCTTGAATTGAGGATTTTGGAAAGGTAAAATCTTGAACTTGGCCAAAATCTTAAATTCAGGCTTTTGGAAAGCTAAATTTGTTGAAATCGGCCAATATCTTCAATTTACGATTTTAAGAAGCGAAAATCTTGAAATCGGCCAAAATCTTGAATTCAGGATTTTAGAAAGCTATAATTTTGAATTGAGGATTTTAGAAAGCTATAATCTTGAATTGAGCATTTTGGAAAGCTAAAATCTTGAAATCGCCCATAATCTTGAATTGAGGATTTTGGTAAGCTAAAATGATGAACTTGGCCAAAATCTTAAATTCAGGCTTTTGCCAAGCTAAGCTCTTGAAATCGGCCAAAATCTTGAATTCAGGATTTTGGAAAGCTAAATTTATGAACTCGGGCAAAATCTTGAATTCAGGATTTTGGAAAGCTAAACTCTTAAAATCGGCAAAATCTTGAATTCAGGATTTTTTAAAAGCTAAAATCTTGAATTGAGGATTTTGGAAGACTAAAATCTTGAAATCGGCCAAAATCTTGAATACAGTATATTGGAAAGCTAAAATCTTGATATAAGCCAGAATTGTTACTTAAGAATTTTGGAAAGCTAGAATATGAAAATCGGCCAAAATCGTGAATTCAGGATTTTGGAAAGCTAAAATCTCGAAATCGGCCAAAATCCTGAATTCACGATTTTGGAAAGCTAAAATCTTGAAATCGGCCAAAATCTTGAATTCAGGATTTTGCAAAGCTAAAATCGCGAAATCGGCAAAAATCTTTAATTCACGATTTTGGAAAGCTAAAATCTTGAAATTGGCCAAAATCTTAAATTCAGCATTTTGGAAAGCTAAAATCCTAAAATTGGCCAAAATATTAAATTCAGGATTCTCGAAAGCTAAACTCCTGAACTCGGCCAAAATCTTGAATTCAGGATTTTGGAAAGCCAAACTCATGAATTCGGCGAAATTCTTGAATTCAGGATTTTGGAAAGCTAAACTCATGAAATCGGCCAAAATCTTGAATTCAGCATTTTGGAAAGCTAAAATCTTGAACTTGGCCAAAATCTTAAATTCATGCTTTTGAAAGCTAAATTCTTGAAATCGGCCAAAATCTTGAATTCACGATTTTGGGAAGCTAAAATTATGAACTCGGCCAAAATCTTGAATTCAGGATTTTGGAAAGCTAACCTCTTGAAATCGGCCAAAATCTTGAACTCAGGTTTTTTTAAAAACTAAAATCTCAAAATCTGCCAAAATATTGAATTCACTTTTTTTGAGGCCTAAAATCTTGAAATCGGCCAAAATCTTGAATTCCGAATTTTCGAAAGCTAAAATCTTGAAGTCGGCCAAATATTTGTATTAACGATTCAAAAAAGATAAAATCATGAACTCGGCCAAAATCTTGAATTCAGAATTTTGGAAAGCTAAAATATTAAAATCGGTCAAAATCTTAAATTGAGGATTTTGCACAGCTAAAATCTTGAAATCGGCCAAAATCTTGAATTCAGAATTTTGGAAAGCTAAAATCTTGAACTTGGCCAAAACCTTTAATTCAGGCCATTGGAAAGCTAAATTCTTGATATCGGCCAAAATCTTGAATTCACGATTTTGGGAAGCTAAAATTAAGAACTCGGCCAAAATCTTGAATTCAGGATTTTGGACAGCTAAAATCTTGAAATTGGCCAAAATCTTGAATCCAGGATTTTGGAAAGCTAAAATCTTGAAATCGGCCATAATATTGAATTCAGG